AAAAAGCAAAATTCGTTGTTTCTAAAAATACCAACTTTTTACGAAACCTGAATGGGGTAAGGGGTTAAAGTGCCATAAAGCAGTCAATTGAACAGCGAAAGCCACTCTTGGAAAATACTCAGACTGCATATTGGTATCATCAAGGACTAAGTTCAAACGTCACAAATTGTTGTTTACATGAGCGTTTGACGCAATCGATCCTTACAGAGTAAATCATCTCGCGCCGTTAAGATTTGTTAGTTAGTATTCGTTATATTTGCTCATCCATTATACTTCAAATGATATCAGAAACATCTTGAGCTTAAGCTGTTCGAACGGTAGTCGGGCCGCTTGCTTCTTGTATATGAAAATAGCAATATCGATATGGTCTTCCGCCATATTTGAGTAAGGCACCATCTTTTGAAGTATACGTGAACTCAGACATGAATGTTAGCTTTGTGGCTATTACTAGTCTAATAGTGAACTTATCTATCTATAGAAATAACTTCCAGTCACTGCACAGTTCACCAGAGGTGCAGATATAGTCGACGGCGATGCTCTTCTGGCTGCGATTACTGCAACATCACTTTTAATGAGGAATGAAATTTGGACCTCACAGGAGAATGAAGGCTGCCACACGGCATAGTGATTGTTTCTATTACCGTTTAATTTATTTCGTCACAAATGATTACGATAGATTAGATACTTTAAAATGTTTGTCACGGATCGCCTATAAGTAGTCGTCGTGGCTAAAGTCGGGTCACGAAAAAAACTCTACGTATAGATCCTAATAGATCAGTGGGTAACGTATTTGCCTGCTAATCTCAGCGGCACAGACACACTTCGTTTTGTGCTGGAAGCAAGCCGACTGATGAAACGTTTAGCGGCGCTACCGGACGTAAAAACTCAAAGCATAGAGGTATAGCGATCGTATTTAGCTCAAGCGCTAACATCTGGTTAAACGCAATGTATAATATTCAACGACCGTTAGATACAGTAGTGTTTGATGACAGCGCCTCTCTCATCGCAGTGTATTCCTTACGTACTCGCCTTTGAGAACCAAAACCTGACTCCTTTGGTTCAACAAGGCATCCCGCCGGAAGGTTTCATTCATCACCGTACCTATGGCCGCGAACATTAGGACGAAACATTGCTTGTCTCTAAGCACCGTAATCATCCAATAAATAGCAGACTCAACGAAAGGGTTTATGCGAGTTTGCATCGCTTCAAGACACAACGCAGGAGTCGTTCAATGAAGATCGATTTAATGAAATACTTTGATCGCTTTTAGTCTCATCTAGAAAAAGTTTCGTGTACTTAACAAATCTTCATTTAAGAAAATTTTTTATTCGAACACTATATGTCTTCAAAAGCCTGCGGTAGAGGCAACCTATCTATCCATATACAATATATAACGAAACTAACTTTATCTGCACTGCTTATTCAGTATCTAATTAAATGTGTATATGATTGAAGGCCTCCGACTAAGGTATTTCACCTTACCTCGGAACTAGTTAAAATGGCCCATCATATTGGCTCGGGGTGTCAGCCCATTGAACTGCTTGCCGCTATAGCAAATGCGATCTTACTCATTTTTTTTTTAATAACTAAGACTTGATTTCACTAATATACTTAGCCAAAGGCAAAACAAGTCACCAGTAAGAACGACATAGTTAATTGCGTCGTGTATTCGATTTTAGAGTTCTCAGAAGGGATTTACGTTCCCTAGAGGCAACTTTAGGAAAAAGCCGTATCTGCAGTTCGCTGATGCGCATGCGCAAGCGCATGTTCTGTCGGAAGCTTCTGAGCTAAGTATGGACCAAATTGTCGCTTGTGACACGACCATTATCAAGCTTTGATTGTACGTAAAAGGGGATAAATTCGTTTGTAAATTCCAACGTGCTGGAAGGGATCGATAAAATTGAATAGTTTTTCATTTACTATAGTGAACAACTGACTTGTTCATTTCAGGAAGAGTTCTTATTAGAAAAATGATGTTGAAGACGTCACAAGGGAAAGCGGACTAATCCGCTTAAGATTACTTTGTGGTCTGATACATAACAAGAGCGAATTGAACAATGCAATAGGCTGGCACTTGGCGATGTAAATAGCGGTACCCACCAGGCGGAGTTACAGGTCGTTCTTTATCGTGGACTATTAACGAAACCAAAGAAAGATGCCTGAAGGTATTTTATAAGGCCTTTCATATTCTGCACGATACCTATTAAACAGCCTTCGCCATACGATAACATTCATATAAAACGTTCTTCCTTTATATCGACGAGTCGAAGATGTTAGCTTGCAATTAGAACTTGGTGACAAATATGCTTGTATCACACATCTGAAAAATAGGCGGTAATTTTGTTTGCCTGAATCATATAATGACTACCGACAGAACAGTATTTAGGGAGTGCTTCACTATTATTGATCAATAACGTCACTGTTGTGTTCTAGATCTGAAACAGATGTCCAGGTAAATGTCATACACATCTAGGGTAGAAAATGAAAACAAATATCCAAGAGCCATGACCATAAATTCGATTGGATTATTAATATAAATTAGATGAATCTGAAAAATGCCTTCCAAACTTATCAAACGAAATCAATGCCTCCTTAATTTAGCGGTCCAATTAGAATTTTTGTCGACCGGTGCGATGTTCTTTACTTAATAATTAGATTGCTAACAACAAAGTGCTTACGTCTTTTTACTTATCGCTAGATAATTACTCCAGGCCGTCTGTATAGTATGCAGATCTAACGGTACGTCTATCAACTGTAGATAGTTGAGCGTTACAAACAGATGTAATGTTGTATCGTAACTCCCTTCGGCCTAATAGAAATGTATTCGTAATGGTTTCAAGCTATGATCTAAACAACGTTAAAGCAAAGAATTAAATGACTGGAAAAAACGTCAATAAGCTATTATCATATACGGACGCCATGCTAAACGAATCAAGTGAGTGAATTTATCAATGTTTCATTTAATATTTGCTTGAATAAGTTGACAACATCGAGTCAGCTCGCTCGTATGCGCCGTCATCCTGATATATCATATCTTTGCAAAATCAAATAGGGTTTGAGTGAATACTCGTTTATGAAGCTCTCCACAAACAGCTATTGGCGAATTTATTTTTTTGCTTCCCATATGGCTCGTTTTAGTTTAATTATATTATTTGATAAAGTCGCATTTTTCGTGACATGCTATACGCCATTGTATATATGTTGCGAAAATAAAAATGCCATTACGCGCAGCTCCGCTTGCTTTGAGCTGCCTTTACTTATAGCATGTTACGATTAAACTATTTGAAAAGCGGATACAATTTTTTCGATCTTAGTTTTTTTTATGTTATTACACTTTAGAGAATAATTATTATTTTTTGCAGCCATAGACTCAAATACACGGAACACTTGCTTGTCCGCAATAACCAGGCTGTACGTGAACACCGTAGATACCTATTTTACCATATCTATCGCGGGCTCTAGAGATATAGGTTGCGTGTAAAAATTATTTTAGACGATGATGATTTTTCATAGCTACCTGACGTTAAATCCATCGCCCCGACAAGCAAGTCTTTGATTTCACGCTTTTTAATTAAATAGTCTTAATTCATAAGTCTCCTATTGGTGACATAGCCTTAGCATCATCAGTAACAGACGGCTTGGCCTATAGCATTATGTGATGGAAAAAATTGGCCAGATGCTGGCCTGTCGAACAAACAGCTGGGCGATCTCCATGCATATTTCAACGAGTGCAAACAAAATATTTACCCATTCGTCAGTTTAGCAGTAGCAGATGACGAAGTGCGTACTCACGAAGTTGCTTTCTGTCCTTCTGTTTCGCCGCAATTGTCGAAGATTCGAAAAACGTTCGAACAAGTACCTAATTAGCAAAGTTATTAGGTACTCATTGGAATAATGTGCTACATCACCTTGTCAAGTTTTAAAAGTTCATTGATCACGTACATATATATGTGTATATATATATATATACAGATTTTGACAAAAACAACATAACTAATTGTGTGTCAGTTTAAAAAGAGGGTGTTTACATAAAGGATTCGCAAGGATCTATAAACCACAGGCAGCTTTGTCAGAGGATCATAGCATTACTACCAAGAAGGTTAGATGAATATTAAAAATCGAATATTGCGCAAAAATAAACTATCTTAGACTAGCATTGCGCTAATTTAGAGTACCGAAATTGCCTCGATGCTCGAGCATGATAAGCGTCTTGTCGTCTGAGGTCTTCGAAATGTTAGTTACTTTATCGGCATAGTTTATATGATAATGCTGCAAAAAAGAAACCTAAACAGACAAATAATGTTCGCTAATCCGATTACGATGCATTCGTTATACCGTTATGAAAAAATGACGCCGTTGCTATCTCATTTTCAAATTTCATAATTAACTGTGCCGTTTGTTCAGTTCAGGAAATAGCTAATAACATTTTTAATGACGATTTAGCGGCGAGAAATGGCGAACGAAATAAACACGGCATTGCAGAACCGGAAATTTAATGAGATTAGCATTCCGCTACTACAGTTTTCAGCGGCGCTATCCAATATTTCCTTACTCAGTTCCCCGCTCACCCTTTGTTTCAAACGAATACCGTTGGCAAACTCTTCGAGTTGCGATAGATAAGCAAATATGGCGTCGTACCGACGTTTCATACATAGAATTTAATCCACTAACTAATACCGCATGCACAGTTGCGTCTTTAGAATAGCACATCTGGGTCATTTATTAGGCGTCATTTTTCTTGCCAAGCAAAATCCAAAGAAGTAGCTTACATTCGCGTAATGTGTCAGATAGTCGTCGCGAGATATTAACTGACTGTATTTTATGGCCCTATTTAATGACAAGCTAACTCTACACGAAATTTGATTAAAACCACCAGCTAAAATAAGTTTCAGAGGCCTTAATCGTTTCTTTTTCAATATGTGAACAGCTGCTAACTTGTCTCTTGTACCATTACTATAGCCTTGCGAATGCCATCATGTCACATACGACTATTCTCTGTCTTTACAGGCTCGTACGCAAGCCGCTCCTTACCCTCTAGGCATCGAGCGTGAGGACGAATAGGACGACGAAATGCACAGTGTCACGGTTTGCTTAGTCGCACGTTTGCGGCGATACGAATGTCGGTTTTGGACGGATGCAGCGAGAGGAATCGGTCGCGGCGGCTGTGGTTCTTGTGAAGGTAGCGACAGAAGCAGTACTGTCGGTCGCTGTAGTAGTAGCTGCCCTCGGGCGAAGTAGAGGATATGCAAAGTTAATGTTCCGTAAAAAAGGGCAAACAGAAACATACACACGGACAAACACGGCCGCTCTGTGGATGGCCGAAGGCGCGCGCGTCGTCTGCTCGACTGCTTCCGGTCTCGACTTCCTGGCGCGAGAACTTTTAATCTGCTCTTGGTTAATAATAATCTGCGTTATTTGATCTGCTCCTTTGCTCGCTTCTTTTCCATCGCAGCTCGCCTTGATCTGCAGTGCTCGCTTGTCCAACTAAGTCCTACGTTCGCTCGTCGCGCCTCTTCTCGCTGTGTCCAACCTTCGCCTTGGCACAACACGCCGATACAGCCTATCACCGAATTAAACAAATGAATAAACAGCGAAGCAACTCCCATTGTGAATGGTTCGGTGGCGTTCAATTGATTTTATACTCAAGCCACTGCCTCTGCCTCAAGCAATTATATATTGTTAGTTTGTAATACGCATTATGTCGTTATGCGCTAAGTCTGTAGAGTTCTTACATCGAACCTACTGGAATATAAGAGAAGGTCAAACGAAATCGACCATATATTTCACGGTATTTTAGTATTAATAGTTCTAAGCGCTGAAGCACCTGATGCAATATACTGGGCAAGTATCTAACAGTATGTACTGCATATGCACTGGGTTGCACACCCACAAACTATTGTTTTGTAGGTTATGAGAGTTAAAGAATGTCTAGGTTGACACCGAAAGTTTTTGGCCATTCTCAAAAACGTATCTTAAGGGGCATTCCTTTAGACGGACTTATCATTAGTAATTGTGGGCTCTTCATTTGAAGATATAGTACTGTCGCACTTATCCAGACATGGCAATCTAGATAACTATTTTGGGTTTTACGCTTGCTAAAAATTGACTACTTACGATAATCAGTTTACTATTCTCTGTAGAATTGATTCTTTTACACAACGATAGATCTGGTGCACCAATCAAAGTTCTGGTATGCTAGAATATAACGGACTTCTTTTTATCTACTGCGTGTTTATAAGCCACTCTTTGTTAATCCAAATATAATGTTGACCTCTATAATTCGTCGTGATTCCCCTTTGGCCATATCTTATTTATAAGTAACAGTGCACGTAAAGTGATTACCTAAACACTTTGTATGTATGTATGTATAATATACGTGAACCATATATACTGTTCGTAACTGCATAGAAGATACACAGAAAAAATATTTCGATGGCCTTTCGGTAATTATATCTAATATTTTATTTGAAATATATTTTTTTGAAGTGTGAAGAAATTTACGCAGTACTCAATAATTGACATTCCTATTGCGTAAATGAATTACGACGCACCAGCACTAGGGAAAGCTGAATGTTTCTGTTGCCAATTATCAATGGCCGCTTAGATACAGGAAAGTATCTGCAGTAGAAAACTGCAAAGATTCCTTTAGAAAGAGTACCAAGTTTTATAGCCTTTTATAGGTAATGTTTTCTCTCTGATGTCAATTTAACTTCATCTACTGTGAGCTGGGTATATTGCATGAACATTTGTAATACCTTTGCCTCGGTAAACAATTAAATAGTAGAGGAAACGATTCAACCGGCATCAGAGACTGAATAATAAAATGACCTGACTCAATAAGACGGGCTTTCGGATAGGTTTAGGCAATCATCATTATAAGGAACAGGATGAAGCATAGGCTTAATGTGTAGACAGATCAATTTGTAGTTCTTATCAAATTGACATTAAGAGATTTGCTAGCGTTTTTTCATTAGACGTTTCAAGAGTTCGGGGTCACTGAGCTCAGGGACTAGTATGAAGCAAGCGAAGAAAACCTCGCTACAACCAGTTTCTATATATACCAATTTCTCGACGAGGGACTTTACTCTAAAGATGATGTCCTTGCGACAGCATAGTGATAACATGTTGCTACTAATTGACACGAACGTGCTACGTTTTGGGCTTGACGTCCGGCACTTGAACCGCTAGAACACAGAAGGTCAGCTCACACTCGAATCCGAGCATCGTAAAGCTTAGTTTTCAATGAAGGTCTGCGTAGCTGCGTACGACGCGTTTAACAACTGTTTTTCTGCTCAGTATCTCTAGATCGACTACACAGAACTATCCGTTCCGATAGAACCATAGGAATACGTTGAGTAGCGGTATCAAAACCCCTGGTGAGGTATACTGTCTGCCGGCAGTAGCTGTCAATCATGAAATGGACAGCACCGTTTGTCACGTTTCACACACTGAGGCCAATAGATCGAGCGTCTATTTAAGTTCCATACATCCAACAGAAAGTTATCAACCCGAACTCCGAATCAGTGAACGTCAACTGCATTATTATAAATGAAGAGAGCTACGACAAGTTATCGTCGAACGTCGTATAAACAACGACTGAGCAGTATTATCGGTGTTCTCTATATATATATATCGATGTCCATATTTAGTTATCACATCTAAATTCGGAGAGTATGACGGGTGCATGTAAGCATACATTTTGCGTACAATAGTAGCAAAAATCTTCATGCAAGAAAGGTGATAGAGTCGTTCGTTATTTAACACTAAGAAGAAGCTCGTCTTATGCCGTCTCTCGCTAGTGAGATCGATTTCTCTAGCTCTCCCTGATTATAATGTTTAAATAGAGAATAAACGTATGTTAAAATAATAAAGGTAATAAATAGTAGGATTTGTCAATAATATTATATATATATATATATATATATATATATATATATATATATCAATAATATAAATAAACGTCATGGCTTTTGCCTTCATGGTTCCCTTTACCTTTTTATGGCTACGCTAGTACTATTCTGAATTTACCATCTTTGTATCCATATCTTTTAATAACGGTCGTGTCTAAAAACGCCAAATCCTTAATGTGGTAAACGTTTCATCAGTATATCCAGCCCTAGAGAAGTTCTTTTATTTCTTTGAAGAACATCTTTTATTGCATAGATAAGTACTCTTATACTTACCTTACAATAGGCTTGCACAGACGCTTACGAAAATTAAGAAAAAACTATCAACTTTCACTAAATATATCCCCTAAAATGTCAGACAGAAAAATAACTAACTGGGACTAATATATGAATTTTAGTAATTGTATAGTGGCGCGTTACTGTACATTTCGTTATCTTATACAAACGACAGTCGTAAGAAATACGTTCGTTTTGCTTTCTCTGAACACATAGCTTTTTAAATATTGGAAAATGGATTTAGATAACAAGAGCTTCGGATGTCGAACCGCTTACCAACGATGAACTGGCAAATATAGAGGCTCTTTTAAAAATTTTACGATTAAAATAAGCGTACCATCTTTATTCTAGCGTTAGAATTAGAAAAGTAGAAAAACGTATTATCCTTTCGTAGAGAATAGATGACATTTGCGGTACTGGAAAATTATTATTATTCTATGTCCTTTTTTGCTTGGAGAGAAAGAGCCTTGATGGTAGACACGATGTACTGCATGAATTCTGTTAGAGACCTTTTATCACCTAAAATTCAGGTTGGGTCTGTTATAGAGTGCCTCGTAGAATGTGATACTTACGAAGCTAATCTGTGCAACAGATCTATCTTGTGTATAGGATTTTATTTAATGGACGTAATTTTTGAGTGTTTGTCCACTAAAGCGTCGGTAAATATTAGCTTCTGTCTGGTATGGGCGCATCGATCATGTCGAAGATAGCGTCCAATATATCGTTTGCCGCAAGGCTGTTCTACGCATAGGTCACTCCTAAATCTGTTTACCATGTTTGTCTGAGATCAAAGCGTAGTTCTTTTCTTAAAATAGGTTTCTAATAAACAGACTGGTACGCCATTTAAACTAAGCCAGAAGGCCATTAAAATAAGGTAGTTATACAATGGACATTGGCCTCGAGCCTTTACTGCCAAACGATTTGCCGCTGTTCCTCCTAAAATCGAGTATAGGGCTGTTGTTCGAAGAATTTCTTAAGAAAATTATTATTAATTATATTGTTATTTTAAAAATAATGCCTTAATAATTTTGTCAATCAAAGTTATTTTGACGACATTTACAATGTTTCAGCAGTTCTTGCAGTGGTCGATAGTTTTGACATCGCTATTCGTTGGATTCTATTCTATTCTATGTATCGTTATATTTTATACCGAAGTTACCGAGTTGGACCGAGTTATCGAAAATACGATCACCCACAGGATAGATTTCACACATCAGCAAATTACTCCAATGAAGTGACGCTTCGATATTGAAGCTACGTAACTACGAAACGAGAACTCGTTTCTAGCGCTGGTTGGTTATTTATCTGTAATATATCATGCGGCCTAACTGACACTTATTTTCCTCGCTCATGCCATTAACTAGCCAAAAATAGACGTCGTTTTACAATGTAAAGCTCTATGGCAGTGTCGTCTGTGACAACCGAAGTTTGGCTTGTTATTAAGCAAACAATATTATCGTGTATGATTTCATGGAAATTCGAATAATCTTCGTTGGCGTAGCGGCGCACGTTCTCTCGGAAAAATAACGCTATACGGTTTGCCGTAAGGTCTGTCATGACCCCTAGAGACGGAAGAAGAATAAGGGCTGGTTTTCTTTCGTAACAATGCGCACTTCGTGCACGTTCACTCGTTCTGTCTGTTGACGCTGGACGTCGTAATGGGCCGCACAAACGTTATTCTTCAAACTTCAACTGCTATGAACTTGTGAACGATGGGTAAACGGCTAACGAGAGATAAAACGCTAAAAAAGGCAGACTCAATCATCTTCCTTTTATTGTTAAATTTATTATAAATTAAATTTATAGCGCAGGAATTCCATCTGTTAATTCTATCGATCCTCAAGGGATTCGATTATTTGACTTTGTGCCAATTAATGACTTTAAATCCTTTCAACGAAAGGCGTACGCTGTCGGAAAACTGGGCGAGGCAGGCCCGTGACATGTGCTTACCGCGTGCAGTGCAAAGGCAACGTCTCGCAGTTTTAGTGGGGTCGTATCAACCATGGATAAATCGTCAACAAACATTCAACGTTAAATGATAACCGCATCATACGTGTGTATTTCTAATTAAATAATGTTAAAAAAAAATCCATTGTAAACTAGAATCACCAGGAACGGATATTTGGCAAATAACACATCTTCTTAATTAAAGAAAATTTTAATTCGAATAGGTTTTGTGTTTTCTATTGAGAACTATTCAAATATCAAGCTAGCTATTCTCAACCAATTTGCAGCTATTGCAAATCTTCAGCTATATTTATGTACATTAAATCAAATTAGATGGACTGGTTCATTTTAACAAGTATGCCTGGACGCTTCTCCGTATGTTGGAGCAGTTATGAATCAGAACATGGGCCTTTTTGGATTTTTACCGCCA